CTGAGGCACGGGGGCTCCGGAGCTCTCAAAATGCAAGAGAGACAACCAACTGCCATGGGGGGGGGGGTGGGCCTGGAAGGGCCTCCCCTTATTTTTTCCCCCCAGACCCCAAAGGCAATTTAAAGTGCAAAGGAGTGCCTGCGCCACCTCTGTGCCAGTCAGAGGGCATCAAATGAATGGGCTGGAAAGGGAGGGTGGCACTCTGAGGATGCCCTTACAAGCATGCCTTGGGCAGGGATGGCAGGGCTTGGCTATTTCTCTTACCCAAGTGGCCCCTTTGCCACAAAAGGACGGGAAAAGGCCCACTTTCATGGCACCCATCTCTCCCCCAGCTGCCAAGAACTAGAAGGGGCTGGTGGGATCCCGTCTTGGACTCCCGGTGCCAAACCGGCCTTCGCTGCTGTACGGGAAAGCGACGAACCCGGTCAGCAGCCAAACGCATTCCTCGTCTCTGTGCTGCGTTACGAAGGCTGCACGTTACGGCCCCGTTTTCTCCCACCGCAATGAAAGAGGAAGAGCCTCTTTGTGGACGTTGGAGGCTCCGGGATGAAACCAGTTGGCTGGGTCAGCTCAGTTGGACCCAGCACAAGTCCCTGGGGGTGTCTGTGTGCACGTGTGTGTGTGCAAGACTACACTACCCATACACAGTTCCCTTGCATCAGTTTCCTTTCTTGAGAGGCTCCTTGGTCAGTCAGAGTGAAACTGGAGGAAAAGCAAAGACCAAAAAACCCCATTTTGAACTATTTTGGAAGCAAAGCCTCATTGCACAGAAGCAGTGTTTCTCAACCTTGGCTGCTTTAAGCTGTGTTGGACTTCAACTCCCAGAATTCCCCAGCCAGCATAGAATTCTGGGAGTTGAAGTCCAACACAGCTTAAAGCGGCCAAGGTTGAGAAACACTGCTCTGAGCAGTAGAAAGCGTTGAAGCAAAACCAAGGAATACATTCAGCCTCTCCAAGATTTTTCCTGCCCCCCCCCCCCCCCCACAAGTCTGCCTTGAAAGTCCACCTGCACCTGGAGCTGGACGGTCTCGGGGTCAAGTCCGAAACGGTTTTGTCTCAAGCCAATCTGAAAAGCCGCAAGGCAAGACAAAGGCTGTTAGAAGTCAGCAATCTGGAGGGCAACGCTCCCCCCTACCCAGTGCCACCTCCATCCGAGGGTCCCTCCCTCTGTCTGCCCTCTTCCCATCCCTGCCAAAGTGCACGGCTGGGGGATGGGGCGAGCCCCTGGCAAGGTTGGCAGCCTCGCCCGAGCCTGTAGGGTGATGAAACACTTCTCTCTCCATGCCCCATACCCAACCCCCCTCCCCCCGTTTTCTGCCAAAATGTGTTCAAGCCCCAGCTCGGATTGGCAGCGGGGCGGGCTTTGAATCCTCTTCTTCAGGGACAGTTAACCAGCTTGAAGTCGTAGCGGGGCCTCTTTGAAAGGGGGGTGGCAAATCCCAGAGACACCCCAGCCGTTCTCCTTCCTGGGAAGATGCCACTGGACTGCACTGTGTTGTTCTGTCCAAGTCCTAAATAAAGGGTCTTGTGTCCTCCTGTCTCCGAGTCCACCCATCGGGACTGATGCGGCCCGGGAGGGACACTGAGTCTTCCCTCCCAGAGGGCAATCTTCTGTGCCCGGGGTCAAACTGGCTGGGGCAATGTGGGCGATGCCTCCCCAGGTAAGAGCTCTGAACACCAAGGGCCCTTTGTGACAAGAGCAGAGTCTTCGGAGGAAGACCCCACAGGGATGCTGGCAAGGCCACGTCTGCACTGCCCCCTTCCTCTCCAGCAACTCTGATCTACTGACCAGCGTGGCTGGACCACAGAGGCCTCAAATCAAATGGGGGCAGTTCCAAGGCCCCAACGGGTGGCAAACGGGGCGTTTTGCACCAGGAAAATACAGCCCGGCTTTGCATCCCCTGGCGAGAGAGAAAGGGGGCAGGACGACGGAGCTCTGCTCAAGCCCCTCTTCGCCCCTCACCCATCACACAAAGCAGTTCGGGGGATGAGAGATTCAGAGCATGTTTGTCAGCCCTGCAGAGGGAAAACTCAATCCAGTGAACAGATCATTCCAGAGTTAGCCTCTGGTACCAGTTAGGGGACTGGGGGTTGTGTGTGTGGGGGGAGGTCACACGCCACACTGATGGCTTGCTTCCAATTTGGCGCTACGTGCGAATCCAGGCAAGCCACGGCATTGCACTGTGACCCCTAAGATCACGTGAAAGGTCGGAGGGCAAAATGGTGGGGAATGGAAATGGCGCTGGGGCTGCTTTTCCCCAGGAAATCAAAGCTGGCTTGGAGCACTTCCCTGAACAGCTCCAGCCACGTGCGGACCTGGGAAACCAGAGTGGTCAAGCGGCACAGTCCACCAGAGCTTCAGGGCTTCCTGGCCCCAAGGCTCGAATTTCCTCCCACCTATTAAACCCGGCACGGCCTTGCTTTTCTTAAAGCAAGGGAAGGAAAAAAAATGACCAGGAAGCAAGTATTTCTTTTCACGAAGTTGGGGGAATAAAGGAAGACGAAGGCCCTGGGGCTGCGACCCCCTCCCGCTTCCCTGCTCAATTGCACCGCCCTCCCTGTTTCGAAAAGGAGGGGAAGGCCCCAGAACAGACGCGAGGGCAGAATCCACACTCCGGTCTAATCCCGCAACCTCGTTTAATGCCCCCAATCCCAGATGGGGGGTGAATAGAAAACCCTTAAAAACATAGAAAAGCAGCCGCAGAATTTAAAAATCCCCATTGCTACACATAGAAGGGCTCTCCGGCACAGAGAGAACCTGTACGAAAAGAAAAACGGACCCTTCCTTCCCAGAACAGAAGAGGCTGGCAGAAGCTCTTCGGACAACGGGAAAGACCCCGTGCATCCCCCACGCATGGCTGGAAGGTGAGCCGGCTGCTGCTTCCTCCTCTGGAAAGGACTCCTGAGCCTCCCTGCTCCGTTCTGCGACCTTCCGGAAGGGACCGTCTCTCACAACGCGTCTGGAGTCAGGATGCTCCGACGCCACCAAGCGTGCCAGCCCCCCACAGAGGGGCACAAGCAAGCAGCGTGGCCCCCTTGGGCAACCTGGACCCACGGGGCCCTGAAATCGCTCCCACGCACGGATGCAGCCAGCGGCAAGCCCTCCCAGGCGCTCAAGAGCCAGACCCGCGTGATGTGCAGTCCCGGGATCCGTGCCGCCTCCTGGGCGGGAGGGAGGGAGCCACCCCCGCCCCTCGGCTGAGCTCCAGCCGTGCTGGACCCTGATGCTCCGCTTGGGTTGCCGTTGAGGGAGGGGCCCCCGGTCAGGGGCCAGTTCAGATGTCAGCGGGGCGCAACTGCCGCTCCCCCTCGGCCAGGAAGATCTGCAGAGCTCGGTGCACCAGGAAGATCCCCAGGTGCCGGCGGCGTTTCGTGGGCCAGCCGGCCACGGTGCCGTAGTAGTTCCCCTTCTTCCGATTGGTCAGCATCTTCAGCCCTGGCGGGGAGAGAAAGGCCTTGCAGTCACACAGCTGCCCCCTCCCCTGCTGGGAACCACCGCCCTCGGGGAACCTCCAAATCACCATCACGGCTGTTTGCGCAGAGGGCTGCCCAAATGCCAACGCCTGGGGCAGAATGCTGTTTTGGCAAAGTCCCTCCCGGGGTCTCAGGAGGGAATAACAGGGCTGGGAAAGGCTTGGGGTGGGGGCGGCGGGAGCTGCCATGGCCAAATGCTCCAGGGTGCTGCAGAAAGAAAATGGGACCTGGCGTCGCCACGGGAGGAAAGCTAGGCTGTTTTCACTGAGAGGCAGAGCGGGGAAACGCGAAAGCCGCCGGCTGGCTAACTGCACGCCCTGCAGCCCCCGGGGAAAAGCGGGCAGATTCTGACTGTGATTGAGATTCATCCTAGGGGAGCCAAGCTTGGGCGGGCGAGGAAGGAGGGTGTCAGCCGGGGCTGCTTCTCTTAGCCAGCAAAGCCCTGCCGATCCGCCTGCGAGAGGGAGCCCCCTGGCCAGAGCCCCCGGGTCACGCTGACCCCCAGACCCTCTCCAAAGTGCCGTGTCCCTACCGATGGCGTCCACCATGCAGGCCTCCCTGGTGTAGGCCTCCACAGGAATGACGTTCTGGAAACAGTGCATGGAGATGACCCCCTGCCCGCTGGCCCAGATCTCCAGGATGTGCTGGACTTTGGAGCAGGCCTGCAGGGCAGAGAGGGACCCCCGTGATCAAAGGGGACCAGCAGCAGAGATGGAGAGAGCAAAGCCCCCCCCCCATCCTTTTAGGCTGATTCAGGGCCGACTTTGGGGAAGATGCACTCAGACTGCACTGAACCGGCCACCATTCCTTCCCCAAATTGCAGCCTTCTGCCCCCAGAATTCAGACCCACGAGCTCTGTCGGACAGGAATTCTGGGACTGAAGTCCAAGCCCCCCTTGGGGAAGGCAAAACACCTGCCACCTAAGCCAAAGGTTTCTGCAAAGCCAAGCCACAAAGGTCACCTTCTATCGTAACAGTCTGCAATCCGCAGGGGTCAAAGCCGGACTGCCCCTGAATTCGGACATTCCACTTGGTGCAGGTGCCCGAGGCTTGACCACAGAACCCTCGTCCCCGCCTGAATGTCCAGCCCCCCCAGAGCTTCTGACAGCGAGTTTCCTGGCCCCCACCTGTGCCCCCCAATTCCTCTGGCCCTCCCGGTAGTGGGTCAAGGCTTCATAGAGATGGCGATAGGGCCGGGAGCGCTTCCCCTTGCCCACATAGAAGATGGCACTGACGAACGTCCGGAGGCATTCTGCCTGGCTGAGGAACTGGCAGCGGAAGGGCAGGTTCTGGGTCACCCTGCGGAAGAGCAGAGGCACGAGACTATCAGCAGGGGCAGCCCCAGCATGGCCTCCCTGCGGCCCCCAAAGCTTGCTGGGCTCTCTGTCCTGGGCCCCGGGCAGGCCCCCCAGCCACCCACAGGCCGCCCCTCCGTCAAAAGCCGGCGACACCCACCTGGGGTCCAGCAGCAGGTAGTTAAAGCTGGACTTGAGCACCCCTTCCCGCCACCGCTGGCTCTTGTCCGGCTGGTCAAACTGCGCGGCCAGAGCCATTTCATCGGCTTTGGCATCAGGGATCCGGTAGGTCTCCAGGGCAAAAGCAAGCTCTGGGCTGTAGGCTGGGCACAAGAAGAGCAGGATGGGGCCAGGACCCACGGAAGGGGGGCTCTGGCTGGTGAAATGCCTCCCTCGCCCTGGTCAGGGCTTCTCTTCCTGAACAGCTCTCCTGGGAAGACGGGGCTGCCAGGGGTCAGTCAGGGACCCTCCTCCTGGTCCCTTACGACCACACCCTCTCTCACCTTGCACCCAGGACACCAGCGCCCAGGTCTTTCCCTCTCCTTTCTGCCCCCCACCCTGCCTTTCCTTTTCCAAGCTCTGCTCCTTCAACCCTCCGCGTCTCGCGGGGGGTCTCCTGCCCACTTCCGAGATCTCTCTTTCTCGGAGACCCCACAGACACCCACCTGCAGAGCCCTTTGGGGCCGTGGTCTTCGGGTCCCTGATCAGCTTCTCCAAGAGCTGCACATACACCTTCCGGGTGAGCGCCGTCACAGGCCCCGGGTTGACCCCAAAGTCCCGTAGCTTGCGGGCCAGAGCTTCATGTGACAGGTGGCCAGGGTTCAAGGGGGCACTTCCCCTGTTGTCCCGGCCTCCCGCTGCTTCCCTGGCATACGTCTGCCAATCGTAAATGATGGTGTCTTCGGAGCTGCTGGCGCTGGCTATGGAGTCCTCCGCAGGGGGGATGTGCCGCTCAATGAGGGTGTGCCCTTCGTCCTCGTCCACATACAGGTATTCCACAGGCTCCGTGGCACTCAAGTTTGCAGGCCGGCCCCCAGGCGACAGCGGGACATCCTGGCTGATGGGGCTCAACCTTCCTGGGTGGCAAGCAGCAGACAACCCCTGCGCTGACAGTCGGCTAAAACTAACTCTGGAGGGCTTCTGTGCCCTCTTGCCCGGAGAGCCTCGGGCACCCAGGCCCTCTGGATCCCCAACTTCTGGGATTTCCGGAGCAGCGAAACTGGTCTGTCCGTCTCCTGGAGGGGGCTTTTTCACCTCCAAACCCATCCTACCTGACGGGTCTTCGCCTCTGCAAACATCTCTCCCTGAGCTGGCTGGAGAACAGGCGAAAGGGTGAGGTCCTGGACTCAGGGCTGGCGTCCTGCTGCTGGGACGAGCCGGGACGGATCTGCCCTCCTCCAACTCCTTGGCTTCCCTGGCCGGGGGAGGCGGGCGCCTGAGACTCACGGTGGCAGCCCCTTGGTCTGAGGCTGGCCTGGGGCCCTTGGGGATTCTCACTCGCCTGGGGCGCTGTGGCATCTCCAGGCTCTCGTTGAAGAGAGAGGAAGAGCTGATGCTCTCGTGTGGAAGCGGCCGAATCGCGGGGCTTTGGGGTCGGGGCGGACCAGGGCAGCACTTTCGGTTCGACTGGAGCAGCGGGGAATGGAAGGCCTTGGTCGCAAGCATCATCGATCGCAGCTTTGAATACAGACTGGCGGATGCCTCTTCCCCAACGCTGGCAGCTGGACACGGGGCCACCTCGGTGTCACCCATGTTGCTGCTTGTCCCTAGTGGACCGGGACTCCCGTTGCCATGCAAGTGACTCCTTTCTTCCAATGTCCGCCGGACAGGGACAGTGTCTTGAGTGAACGAGCTCGGTTCCCTCTCTCCTGCATCCTGGGTGCCCACAGAGAGATCCAATCGCCGCAGACCCCCTTTCCCACCCACCTCCTTCAGCCCTTCCCTTGCTTCAGACAGCACAGTGCTCTGGCGTTCCGCTGGCAACCCCCGAACCTCAATGGGTCCTCCGGTCACCAAAGCAGAACCTCCCAAGGGAGCCTTTGTCAGCTCTGGGGGGTCGACAGCGCAGCTCTCCCTCCTCTGCAAAACCCCCGTGTTCTCAGGACCGTCCCTCTTCGTAGGGTGGGGGAGAACCAAATCTTGACTCCGGGCAGTTCCTTCTTGCCAGGGCTGCAGACCTTCTGATCTGCCGGGAACAGTCTTCATGCCACGGAGACCTGTCTCCACGGGGGTCTCCGTACCTCCTCCTGAGTTGCGGGCTGGTGCCCCAGAACACAAGCCTCCATGGCCGATGTCAGAGGCCTCTGAAGAGCAGCAGACGGCAGCCCCCTCGCCCTCCCATTTCTGAACATGGCCACATCCCGGGCCTTCGACGGTGCTTATACAGCATTCGCTAACGCATGAAGCATACTGGCTGGGGCTGGCAGCTGAACACCTGCTCAGGGACCCTCCTCTCACACAGCACCCCTCCAGGGTCCTGCCAGCCCCCAAGAGAGAGGCGGGGTCAACCACGGTCTTTTCCGCATCCGACACGGCTGTGGAGTCAGCCTGGGAGAAGAGACAGACAGGACCAGGCGAGGTGGCGTCCGTCCCGTCCTGGCTGGCGAACCTCACCGCAAGGCCGGGATCGAGGAAGCCACAGTCCTGAGGAAGGTCCCAAGCGCCGGGGTCCTGTGGGCTAAGAGGCTGGCCTGCTCCCAGTTCAGCCTGAATTCCGAGGCTGGCAGAGGATTCTGCAGCGCGTGGCGTCGTCCGGCCCCCCCGGAACAAGAGAGCCTCGGAGTCCAGGAAAGCCTGTCTGAGGAGGACCGCACCTGGGCCTGGAGGGGAGCTGCCCCCTCCCTCTGCAGTGCTTTGGATGTCGCAAGACTGGTGTACACCCGTGACCCCCACCTCGCCCTCCCAGCAAGCCTGAGCTTTGGCATGACTTGAAGCCAGCTTGGGGGAGGGGAGCGAGGGGTCAGCGGAGGCTGCCAGCCGAATGCCAAAGTCGGACGGATCAGACAGCGTGTGGCACTGCCAGGAACACTCGGTGAGAAATGAAGAGGCCGACCGATCCAGGCAATTTGGAGCAGCTCCCTTGGGCTGGGAGGAGGCCCCGCACTGCTCCCTGTGCTGACGAGCCTCCTTCAGGGAAGACGGTGGGCGTCTGCCAGATGGGCAGCGGCACGAGTCCCACAGCCTTGAAGGAGGACCGGTTTCCCCGGCATCTTCCGTTATGGTGGAGAGAAAGCTTTCTGCTCTTCGGTGAGCTGCATAAAAGATGGGGGGGGGGATATTTGAAGCCTTTTTGTGAAGATCACGTTTGCCAGGTTTGGCCCCCGGGGCCCAGACACTTACTGAGCCAGCTGCTCCTCCCCTCGCCCTGCAGGATGCTGACACAGACTTCATTCTCCTGCTCCAGAGCCAAATCAATGGCGGTGTTCCCGTCCTGAGGCATGAAGGAAAGGCAGAAGGTCAAGAGGTGGGTGCTCCTGCCCCCCCGGCTCTCCCTGCAGGGGGCCTCCTTCCAGGCCCCTCCCCTAATATCTGGGCTCCATTTAATCTGGGGAGGCATCAAGTCCACCACAACTTCAACGTAAGAGCAGCTAATGCTGAAAACTGTTCCAAAAGGGTGCCTCTCCTTGGAACAGGTGGGGCACAGATGTCCCCAAGCCACATCTATAGGAGAAATGGGTCTCAGTGATATCCCTCTGCTATGGGACAGCAGATTGGAACCTGAAACTCTGCTGTGAAGCGAGCTTCCAAAACCATGGTTTGAGCTAAGGGTATTGGACCGCCATGCGCAAATGCATCTTCGCTCCACTCAAAGCTGCTGTCCAAGGAGTGAAGTTGGGGATAAACCATAGTTTATGTCTTGAACGTTTTAAATTCCAAACAGGACTTGCACAATAAAATAAGGCAGGCAGGAGGCCTAAATCATGAAACCCGAAGAACTGAATTTTCTTCCTTCTGCAAAGGAAAGTTTATTTACCTTCTTGTAACTCATCCTCCTTGACACACGTGACCCCAACTGTAAATCACTTCAAGAGGTAGGTTGGGCCCCCGCAAATCAGGTGAAAGCATAACAGCTCTAAATGCTTAGGGGCCATTCCCTTCCCCTCCTCTTTCAAGGTTTCCCTTCACTGTCGGCTCCTCGGGGCAGAGACCAGAGTCAAATTCCCCCAAGACACAGCATAATAAAACTTAGTGGCGAATAAGCGTCATCAGACGCCGTTCTTCCCTTTAACACAATTGTAAGCTTCAGTGATTGTGGCAAGGCAGCGGCATCAATGATTTCTGATCGATGCCTGGCCGAGCAGACACACCTCCCCAAAGTGAAGTTGTAAAGGGAGGCAGATGTAGCAGGCCCCACCCGCAACTTCCCGGAGACAGAAACATTTGGACCAACCTGGTCTTCAAGGAGAGGGTCCCCTCCCTCCGTCAGCAAGAGTCTCAAGCAGGTGGCGCACCCCCAGGAGGCCGCAACGTGGACGGGGGTGAGGTCTTCTCCAGATCTGGGACAAAGGAGGTCACAGAGCGAAAATGGACTCTTGGGGTCCCTTCACCAGTGTCCAGGAAAATGAAGGAGGTTCAGAGACCTGCTTCCCTGGACACCTGATGGTCGAGGGCCCAGAATGGTCTAAGCCAGTGTTGCTCAACCTCAGCGACTTTAAGATGTGTGGACTCCAACTCCCAGAATTCCCTAGCCAGAGGAATGCAAGATCTGGGTTTTTACAGGCAAGGCACAGATAAGCGAGCATTTCCGCTGGGGGTGTCTTTTATCCCCCCCAGGGAGACACGAGCTCTTCAGCGGGGGGGGGGGACCTTTTTTGGAACCAGGGGCGCTTTTGACCTCCGAAGGGGGTGCTCCCTTGCAGGAAGTGGGGCCAGGACAAAACTCCAGGATAACAGTAAATCCGACTTGGTTTCATTTGAATGGAACTCAGTGACAGTTAATTGAATGCCTTAAATATAGGTTCTATAATGATTCATCATGCATTTAATCCATTTTTCTCTTAGAGCTTTGCTTCACTTAGTTTTCCTACCTTTTCTGCACCTTAGTTCTGCTTCCTCTGAACAGGGAGAGTCTGAGGGGTAGGCATGTTACATACGTAGTTTCTCTCTCGTCAAAACATCACACCGCATACGCACTGCTATATTCCCACCCCCAGCAAGTGCCATAAAGAAGCAAGAAATACCCACCCTAGCCCTGAAACTGCTCTTCTACCCTTTCCTTAAATGTTCATTCCTTTACCTTCAGTACAGATGAATAAAAGCTTAAATCACATATTCAAAATAAAGGGATCTTATCCTATGCTGCTGTTCACCAAACAGTCCCCATTCTCATTCATTCTTGCGTCTTCGAACGGCCCAGGCGCTGTTTCTGCATTCTCTCGTCTTCTTTGCGCCCATCCATTCACGTCACCTAACAGAATAACTTTTTCCCCTGGATTCCTCCATCCAGAACGTTCCCATTTTCCCCAAATTCGTGCCGGTTCTACCAGTTCCACCGTGCTCCGGTGGGTCACGCACGGCTCTCCCCAGCCTGTTTCCGGCGGAAGCCACCACACCGATTCCTGCTCTCCGGCGCAGATTTTAGCCCTTCTGTCCAGAACTGGACCGGCACCTTCCT